ATCCGTCAAGGAAATAAAAAAAAAAAAAAAAAAAAAAAAAAAAAAAAAAAATTTAATTACCCATGTAAATGAAATTTGCCAAATAAGAACTTATTTAGAACAATTTCCAAAGGAATGAATATATAATTTAAAACTAAATCAGACTCAAGCATATTATCAAATGGATTAATCCATTGCCTTATTCTAAAAAATAAAATCTTAATAAAGATTAATAAACCATAGTTAAGCTTAAACTCTTTAAATACTTATCATCATATGAGAATAAATTCAGCTCATTTCTTTTGTTTATTATTGAGAGATTTTATTTTTATAGAAGGTGGTTCATGACTAAAATTATAATCATTGTATGCTTGATCTACAATGCTAATTATATCATCTATTTGATATAAGTCTAGGTGAAAGCACTTGGTTTTTAATCGGTCTAGTAAAGATCTTTCATATATCTTATTCCAAATCGAATCTGCTTTTCCAAAATCAACAATATAACACCAGAAAGGATCTAACAAGAAATATTTAAGAATTTGTTCACGATACTTAGAGAGTTCATTTAATCTATTGATGAACTACTTGGGATTGTCATTCTAATTTTCAGAAGAATAAATTAATTATGATAAATTATAAACTGTAAATATGTAATATTTAATTTACCTTCTGTGCTAAATAGTATTCGATCGTCTCAATCTTTTGATTTTGTTGAATGTTATTATTGATTTTTTTAATCTGATCTACTCCCACATTTTGTATAAATTTCAAAATGCTATTTATTTCATTAATATCTCTACAGCTATTCAAGGTCTTTTGTATAATGGTTATCTTATTAATATTGTTCTCCGGTACTAAATTAAAATATTTTGTAAAAATTTTAATCAAATTTTTTAATCATATTAAGTAAAATAAATAATCTTACAATTTTCATCTTTTTCATTCAGATACGCAATATTTGTCCTTATATCGTAACATATAAAGGTATCCTATAAAAAATAGATGTAAGCATTAGTACTGTAATTACAAAATCAATTAGCTTTAAATTATATATTGAATCATAAGAACCAAAACTATAATAGTAAACAAATATTTGTCAAGTCACTCGATATCGTGTAATTTTGAAAGTAGGAACTAGTCAAAAATAGCTAAGGTTTATCTTTGTAACCAGATAATCTTTGACACGAAACTAATTTAGTAGTCTCCTGATTCCTTAGACTTTTAAGATATCCATATTGCAATAAAAGTAAGAACCAGTCAAAAATTGTTAAGGCTATTCTTACAATCAGACAATTTTTAACACGAAACTAATTTAGTAGTTTCTTGGTCCCATAAAGATATCTATATTTGCATACCAGTCAAAATATCCTTGTAACCAGACAATCTCTAAAACAAAACTAATTTAGTAGTCTCTTGGTTCATAATACTTGTATATTCATATAATTTTGATTCTTCATATCATTATTGCTTACTGGAAGTTTGTCTCTAATAGATTTAAGTTCATTCTTTGTAAATTTTTTATTTTTTGTAGTTGTTTCTAGAAATATGACAACAATTAGGTTTATCAGAAAAGGTATTCTGTAAATTCAGGAATATAGAAGAATTAAGTGTAAAAAATTTAACATACCTTTAATCTTAGCATCTAAGCCTTCCAAATATTTTTTTATACAAAACCTTTCTATCATTAACCTCAAGAACAACCCTTCCTTTGCAAAATTCTAAAAACTGTAATAGCACAATATCTTTATATATGAGTTTTTTTTGTTTTTCTAACTTTCTGAAAAATTCATTAAAAAGATTCTTGCCATTTTGAGTTGTTAACATTGTTAAGATATGGTGTAACCTAGATCATATGATCTTTCAAAACAATGAATTTTTAAAAACTCATCTCCCAAGGCCAAATGATCTGCAAATTTGACCAAAATTATCATTGCTTTGAGATCAAAAAAATCAGCCCAAATCTTTAAATTTTTTTAATTGAATATTCAAGCTTTGACTGGTAACCTTTATTATTACAGGATAAATTTTTTATTCTTTATTTAGAGATATGTATCAGAAAAATAAAGTATTAAACTGCATGTTTCTAAATAATATCAATGGGCGTATCATTGTTCATTTTATTTAACCAGCATTGTTAAAATTTTGTTCATTAATTTTGACACATTCTCTGAATTAATTATTGTTTGGACAGTGTATAACTATCCGAACAAAAAGTTTAAAACTGAAAAATAACTAATTGAGCTATCAGATTTAGTAGGTCTTCCTATTTCTTTAGCAAAATTAATTGTGAAATTTGTTCTGTCATAATTGGAATTTGGAATTTTCAATGCTAACACAGAGTAATACGTTCATTTCTGTTCTTTTATTATAGAAGACATAAATGTTTTGACAAAAAAAAAAACAATAAATTTAAATAATAATAATGA